TTTCCATTTTGGTTGACTTATTACAAGAAGAGCACTCAATCGATAAATCCGACATCAGCCCAGCCCTCGCACTATCACTTTCTGTGAGACCCAGTTGACCTAAAATGGAGCATGGTATGCACAATTAACAATTTTGGACATAAAGATGTATTCAAGTACTAAGAACCTGCAACATTATTCAATATTAGATCAGAAAGAATTCAATACAAGGTAAAATAATTCAATACAAGGCAGAAAATAATACAATTCCATTGCAATGCAGCAAACTTATGATTTTAAGAACATAGATATTGTAACAAACCTTCAGGACATTTATGAACTTCTGACAGTGTGGTAGCCAAAACATTGACATCAACAAATCTATAACTGCTGCTATTAATAAACTCGTTATTCTGATCATCATCACCACTAAAGTCAGTGCTATCAGTGTAAAAACCTCGATCACTGAGCTTATGTCTAGATGCTCCAATAGGGGTTGATATTTGCCCTGAACTGTCTTCAGTGCTTGTGCTAGTTGATGGTTGTCCAACGCTTTCGTGGCCTCTTATACGAACGGTTTCATCTTCGTTTGGTGAGAGAAAGGCTTACCCTTTCTTGTAGTAACTAGTTCTAAGTTTCTTTCCAACCATATTTTAAAGAAACTGATGAAAAAACGCGATTATTTTTGTAATTTTTGACAATACACAATCTGAGGATTTAAACCTGTGATTTTCAGCAAAGAATATGCACAACAAACCAGTGTGACCAGGTTTAGTACATTTTATTACCAGATCCGGTTGGATGCCCTTAGACAACCCCACCTGCTTTAAACAACTGCAACATTAAGAACAGGAGGGGGAAGCCAACCAATTTTAAGCAGCTTTAGTAAAAAAATTTGCATATATGGTCACACTGCAACAAACGCATGTTCTTAGTGTGTAACCGCGGCTACATGCTTTCGAAAGTGAGCCTGTATTGTATTTTTGTATTGTGGAAGGGGAGGGACAAAAATAACGGTGGAAACAAAGCAAAATCAATGATGCTTATTCTCGTTGTCATGGAAACGAAATTTCAAAAAATGAATGCCTGTGTTTAAAGTGTATATGAAATGAAAATTTTGATATCGGGTTTTGCATTTTCTGAAAATTTGGTCTTTTCCAATCATAAAAATACCAACCTTGTTGAAAAATTTGAACCAGAAGTTTGTTAATTTTACGATTAAAGTTCGCTTTTTCAACTATCTACTGGCGAAATTCCTGACATTCCATCGCACGGTCAGTGACGTATGCAGTATGACACAGTGCAATCTTTCGATATGTAAACACTATGAAAATTATAGCTTCGTCTGGGTAGAATTGGGTTTTTGAGAGATTTTGAAGAAAATTGAAACAAATCCACTTTCTGTACACTTCGCTTTCAATCTATAGATACAATATAATTACAACATGACGAGTTGTAGCGTATAAGCGTCCGAAAATTAAAATGCAAATTCGATGAGACAAGAGACTATGTCTACGTTGTAGGTTTCAGACCACATATTATGTAGATAGGCTTAGGCTATAGCTGATATTGATTATGGCAAACATTGTAGTAACTAGTGTAAGCATAACATGGAAATTAATACTAAATATCTACATTTACTGACATGCCATAGCATGAGTATGGACCATTCCAAAACTAACAAATTTTGAATTGTATATATATATATATATATATAGTATATTGCGTATATTGCTTTATTGCTTTATCTGTCAGCTGTGGGTCCACTTGTTTGTGTATCGTTGCGGTGTATCGACCACCTCCATCAAAGAAAAATGGCTTGTCTGCAGACATTTTCTTCAATGAGTTCCCAATTATCATTGAGAATCTGGCCGCCCTGCCTGGTCGATTGCTAGTGGTTGGTGATTTCAATTTCCATCTTGATAATGTTTCAACAAACCGTGATGCCATCCTGTTTCTTGATCTTTTGGATTCTAATAACTTGATACAGCATGTTGAAACCCCAACTCACAACCGTGGTCACCTTCTTGATCTCGTGATTACTCGCAACTCAGATACTGTTATATCCGATATAAGCTCATCATTGCAGCTTCCCTCAGATCATGCTGTAATTACTGGTCGAATCTCTGTTCCCCGCCCTAAATCCACAAGAATGTTTGTGAACCACCGAAAACTTCGGAATATTGACTTGTGTGCTTTTGCCCAATCTATTTGCGCATCGTCTATCATCACTGAACCTTGCTCCGACCTGGACTCGTTAGTCCATCAATACAATACTGACCTAACGAATGTTCTGGATATGCATGCTCCTGCACGCCCAAGATTCGTCACCCTCCGACCGCATGCTCCATGGTTTGATGATTCTCTTCGAGAGGCTAAGGCAAAGAAAAGGAGTTATGAAAGGAAATATAGATCTTCTGGTCTTGAAATTGATAAACAGATTTTTAGAGACTATTGTAACAGCTATTATCGTTGTCTGAACGATGCAAAAACATCATACCATCGAAATCGTTTTAGTAATGTTGACCAGCGGTCTCTTTTTCGTGAAGTAGAAAAGATGACCAGTGGAAAAAGGACAAACATTTTCCCCTCTTCTCTGGTTGACCCAGCCGATCAATTCTTAACTTACTTTAATGATAAGATTTGCAATCTTCACAGTAAATTATGCGAACTTCCTGTCTTAGAACCAAATATTTATCTCCCTCCATGCACATGCAGCTCAAGTTTTTCATCTTTCTTGCCTGTAACAGAGACCTACATTAAGCAGATTGTTTTGAAATCCCCTACAAAGTTTTGTGAATTAGATCCAATCCAAACTGTGGTTCTGAAACAATGTCTTCATGTGGTCTTAACACCTATTACGAATATTGTTAATTTATCTTTGGGCGGTGGTTCCATGCCAGATGCTTTGAAAGTTTCCCAACTTGCACCTGTCCTAAAGAAAATATCGATGGATCCTGAAGATATGAGTAGTTTTCGTCCAATCTCAAATTTACAGTTTATCTCGAAGATGATCGAACGAGTCGCATCTCCCCAACTTATCGATTATCTAATGGAAAATAAAATATATCCAAATCTCCAATCTGCGTTCAGAAAGGGATATAGCACTGAAACAGCTCTTTTACGTGTTCAAAACGATCTCTTAGAGGCACTTGATTCTGGCCATCAAGCTCTTCTAGTAATGCTCGATTTTTCTGCTGCTTTCGATACAATTGACCATCAAATTCTACTTGGCCATCTGAAATCTCGCTTTGGAATTTGTGGTACAGCTCTATCCTGGTTTCGGTCATATCTCACATCTTGAACTCAGTATGTAAAAGTAAACGGTAAAACTTCGGCATCAACTCCGCTATTACAAGGTGTGCCTCAGGGATCGGTTCTCGGACCATTGCTTTTTTCTCTTTACGTTTCTCCACTAGAAGATATTTTTACTGCCCATGACATTGATGCTATGATCTATGCTGATGATACTCAACTTTACACTTTCCTAAAGAAATACGATTCTGACACTGCCATTCAGCGTCTTGAACATTGTCTTCATGATATTCAGGCTTGGTGCCTTCAAAACAAACTGGTTTTAAACAATGGAAAAACTGAAGCTATTTATCTACATTCTGCATATGCTAAATCATATCCAGCTCCTCCCAGCGTCTATATTGGTCATAGCTTAATCAAGATCAAAACTGAGGTCTGTGACCTTGGCGCCATTGTGGACGAAAATCTCTCTCTGAAGAGTCATGTAAATTCAATCTGTAAAACAGCTTACATTGCTTTGAGGAACATTGGCAGTATACGGAAGTATCTTGACCAATCGACTGCGGAGCGGTTGGTTCATGCTTTTGTCACATCTCGTCTTGATTATTGCAACAGTCTCCTCTATGGGCTTCCACAACGTGAGATTGAGAAACTACAACATGTACAAAACAAAGCCGCTAGAATTGTGTCAAGGTCAAATAAAAGAGAGCATATTACTCTCATTTTGAAAGAACTTCATTGGCTTCCTATACAAAGCCGTATCCAATTTAAACTTGGGTTAATAGTATTTAAAGCTTTAAATAATTTGGCTCCATCCTATCTTCAAAACCTTCTGAAAATACATCAGCCTTCGCGGTGTTTAAGATCTGCTTCTAAAAATTTGCTTCAAGAACCAAGGACAATCACGAAAACATATGGCGATAGAGCATTTAGGAAGGCTGGATCGGCGTTTTGGAATAGCCTGCCTGATGAATTGAGACTAGAGACATCTGTTGATATTTTTAAAAATAAACTTAAGACTCTTCTTTTTAACCAAGCTTACAGTTTGCTCTTAGTATTCGCAAATTTTTAACTATATAATCTAATATATACTGTATTAATAAGTAATACCATTGTAATGAGCATTGAGAAATTTTTGTAAATGCGCACTGAAGAATTATTATTATTATTATTATTATTATTATTATTATTATTATTATTATTATATATATATATATATATATATATATATCGTTAAGTTCACATTCACAATCTATTACATGTAGTTGCATGTTTTTGTACACGAAATAGACCAGAATTTGATTAGTATTTATCTCACCTCTAGAAAACCTTGGCAAGAAACGTGTGCATGTTTTGTGTGACAGGCTGATAGCACATCCACCAACATGACGAAACTCACACCAGCACTCGCACGCAATCTTGTTTGCATCTGTAATATCTAACCCTATAAAGCAGTGCAGTTTCTATGCATTTACTATGCATGCTGGAAGTGGTCTGGAATTCTCCCATCCCAGCATGCCAAATATCATCTGACTATCCAACGATATGCTACTGCTCGAAGATATCTAAATAATCAAACAGTGAGTCGTTAATTTCATGTTTGCAAATACTAAAAAAGTTACTTATGTATGGTCAGAATATATATAAGATTTGCCTACCTATACCCAAGGCTAAGTCAAGTCACTATTATTACCTATTAGTATACTAATATATACATATAAAAAGATACATTATAGACATACTGTATAACAAAGAATACAAGATATCATTTAGAATACAAATATATACAAGAAATAGTGATATTTAATTATCTTGTGTTCTGGTTGTTGGTTTATGATACTTTTTCCCTGTCTTTATATCAGAGAAAAGCCCCTGTGTCTCTAGTAGGCTACTGTTCAATGGGTGACGACTATTATCATATTACGGAGTGAACAATAACACAACATATAGGCTAACATAACACTTGCAGAACTATAGTATGGTTCGATGCTGAATTAATATAAATGAGTATGTTTATGACATTCAGTATATAGTTCATAATTTCCAGTCTTGATATAAATCCGTCTAACTGTGTAGCTCAGTTGGTAGAGCATCTGTATCTACCGTCTTGGTAGTGTAAATACGATACAGGTCTTGGCTTGTATGGATTTATGGCCGATAACCGATCAAGCTATCTTATAGTTATAGATACACAACTGTGACGACAGGACTTTGAAAATGTACTATATTATCTTCTACGAACCGTCAAACTACAATATAAACAAACTAAGCATGCCACTTGGCGAATCCTAAGTTCCTAAAAGCGGGCGACTAACATGCATAGCAACCCAAGATAAACGACTGAGAGGGCATTACATGGCTCCCCCAGACAATGATAAATGTATGAACAACTAACAAATATGAACGTACATGCAATAAGTTTGATGTTTCTTGTCCTAAGCTAATAAAGTTCACTGTAATGTCTCTTGTTAAATATTTATCTCACGAAAGGCTCCTCGGTGGGGAACAATACCCGGTCTGGTTCTGCTCTGGGATCAAATGTTCACTTTTTCACCATCTTCTTGGGCAACGATAAGAACCAATTTATGCACAGGTCTGTCCAAATGGCTCAATTTACCTCCATAACTTACGAGGATTCGTACTTTGCGTACGAGGTTGTCGTCGCTGGGATAGACTTCTATGACTTTTCCGAGTGGCCAGTTATTTCTGGCAAGATCGTCATCACGCACAATGACAGTATCCCCTACTCTGCTATTCCTGCGCTGACGTGTCCACTTTTTTCTTTCGTACTGTAGCATGTTGCTGTATTCTTTTCGCCATCTTTGCCAAAACTGATTGGTCAAATATTGTACTCTTCTCCATCTCTTGCGACTGTAGAGGTCTGGTCTCGTAAAGTCACCTGGTGGCTGTAGGATTATCTCAGATTTACATGTTAGCAGGTGGTTTGGCATGAGCGGCACGTTTAAGAATGAGTCTGTGTTCATCAAATTGAGGGTTTCCAGGTGGACTGCTCCAGAGGCTAAGCACGTGAAGTTGATACCCCATCTCTTGAGCTCTTTTCTGCCTTCTTTAATATAAAAGCATCCATGCCGGTGTATGCAAATGGTGGTGCAGGATTTACACGTTCGCTTGGTATGTCTGCCATTTTCTGTTCTATGGACTTGCCTCGTAATCTTCGACACATGACGCAGCCATGGATGGCGTGTGATATTACTGTACGTCCATTAATGACCCAGTATCCTGCTTGTCTTATTCCATTGTGGGTTATACCGTAGCCTTGGTGTTTCTGGGCAACGTGATGGTGTCGTATCAGCAGGTTTGTCACATGGTCGTTCTTAGGGATGAGTACAAGGTGTTTAAATTCGTAAGGCGTTGTTGCATTTTTCAGCCTGCTGCAGACTCTGAGAATACCTTCACCGTCTAGGAAGGGATCCAACTTGTGCAAACTTGATGTACGTTTCAACACGGAGTTCCTCATTTTGGCGGATTGTCTATCTTGAAACGTGTCCTCGTTACCGGCTAGCCTTTGCATATCATCAACCTCGGCAGAAAAATGTTTGTACTGAATGGATTTCAAGATTGATTTCTCCGCTTCTTCAAGCTCTCTAACAGTTGGTGGTCCTTCTTGTATTCTCCAATTGTATTGTTTGTCAGATCGTTTTCTCTCGATCATTCGCTGTATGCATACGATGCTTCGCTTTAATCGATAGAAGGAAGAAGAGTGTTTGAAACGGTCTGCTTCAAGGACTTTTGGGAAATTTTTCCTGACTTGCTGGATGGTTAGAACTGTGGTCACTTCCTTCCTGACTTCTTGGTCGTTGGGATCTAGCTCGACTCTGAGTTGTGGGTGGGTCTGCTCGGTTTCTTGCCACAGAAACTCGGGACAGACGAACCAACGGGAATTCTGTGGCAATTCGGTCGCTGTGAGACCATGTGAAGCTTCGTCTGCTGGATTAAGTTCCTCAGCAACGTGTTGCCACTGTTCAGGTTTTGATCTGTCACGGATGTACTGCACTCGATTTCCGACATAAGTGTGGAACCTTCTTGCTTCATTGTTGATGTACCCGAGAACTACTGTGGAGTCAGTATGGTTTCCCTCTTCGGTCTCTTTATAATTCAACTCTTTGCTGAGCATGCTCGAAACATTTACTGATACTACGGCCGCTGTGAGTTCCATCGATGTGCCACATGTAATTTGGGCATGGGACAGAGTAAACCCGTCAACGAATTGGCAGGCGACTACGTGCTTGAACACCTTCAGGATCAACCTCCTTAATGATGCTTCTCAGTCGACTTCTCTGAACATTGACACCTTGAGCTCGCAAATGACCTTGCACCATAACCTCTCCAGCATTTAGGTGATTTCTTTTAATTCCAATTACAGCATCTTGCAAATTTTCGTCAGAATGGCTGGAAAATCGTCCCTCATATCGTATGTTGTACCCTTGTATAGCAGCATATACTGTTGGATGCGACACACCCAGTGATCGTGCTATCTCACTTACAGGTACCTTAAGGGATATCAGATCTTCTAAATAATCTCTAGGAATAGTCTTCCTTGGTCTACCACAAACAGGTTGACTACAAAACGATAAAAAATACATTTCTCATTTCGTCAACGCAAACATGTAAAAACCTAATGTATTTTAAATTGGCTTTACAAAGTGTTTAGATGTGAGTCCGTGACATTTATGATATAATGATTTATCCATGTTTATCTGCAAGACAGAAGACTATATGAGGTGCTAGCACTTCTTAAGAATTTGCCTCGCCCAGTCTACAGAAGTTTTGCATTGTAGTGCACCCAGAGTTGAGACAGGTTCATCATCTTTTAGGAAGATGAACTAAATTCCAAGTATGTTAGTAAAAAGAGAGGGGAGATCTGATAAGATATTGTATTGCACAATTTTGTTTCAATGATGTCAAAGAAAGCCTGAAGCATTTGTCAACAAAATAAAATGTTAGTCATTTCATATATTTCTTTACCCTGGATTCCAGAGCCTTCGACAGTAAATAATAAATTGAAATGTCGCGAAGGCTCTGGTTCAACGGGGAGATTCTTTGATTAAACTATGCCAATCACAAAACAGAATGAGTGGTTCTAGTACAGAATCTGTACTAAAACCACTAATTCTGTTTTGTGATTGGCACGGTTTAATCAAAGAATCTCCCCGTTGAACCAGAGCCTTCGCGACATTTCAATTTATTATTTACTGTCGAAGGCTCTGGAATCCAGGGTAATATTTCTTATAATACATCGGGATTGCCAAACGAATTGATTCTAATCCTAACCCTTAAAGCGAACAGGGTTTGGTATAATTTGCAGCATTGAAGTTAAAAATAAACACACCTGTCAGTTCTGGTAGCTTCATTTGAATTACTTTCCAACACTCCTTCCTGTCAAGTAAAATACAGGGTACACTAAGCATACATGTCTTTGGTTAATTGTATGATTCTATTTAAAAGCTTGTTGTTGAGAATAGTTACAACCGGAAGTATGTGATGAGGGGGGGGTGTAATATATACATTGTGCTGCCTCCTCCACAGGCGTTTTGTTATTAACTAACTCGGGGGGGGGGGCACAGGAATTTGGTGGAGGAGATTTGTGTGCGCCGTAAGAAATGCGGAAAAATGCCTGCTGAATAATATTAAATTTTCAAGACGGCCATTACACGATCACCGCTGTTGATAAAATATTCGCATTTTAAACGTTCTTTGCTGCTGCTGTCCGCCATGACTTTTGAGAGATACAACAAGGATAGACAAGGCATACCGGACTATCGACACATAATCTCGAGAATCGCAAATTATTCAGCAGGCATTTCTCTGCCTTTATACCCACATTTCTCGTGCCACCCACAAATCCCCTCCCCCAATATAAAACGTATTTTTATTAAACATTTTATTATGTTATCAAACTTGGGATTCATACTGCATTCATACAAGCCTGGATAAATAATTTGCAGTTGGAATTAATTTTTGAATAAATTTTCATTGACACAAGTGGAAGCACTGGTCCGAGCGGGAAACATGGCAGGGAAGCAATCCAAATGCTATATCATGATTTCGACATTGTCTTGATTAACTCTTGCCACGGTTTGCTAAATTAAATATTTAAAACCATGTATTTTGCACGTTATATAATATAATATAATATAATATAATGAATTTGTCACTTTATACACGATACAAACTAATTAATTAAAGACAAATAAAGACAGATACAAATCGTGACAGGGGAAAGGAACAGGACTCTCGTCCCAATTGACACCTAACCCCTAAAAAGATGTTAAATATAAATAAAGAACAGGTTATAACACATTAGTTATAACAACTTATACTAGCTAAGGTTTGAATCGTGACTATAAAAGTACTGAACGTTTACACACTGCGACTTACCCACTATGGAGATTACTATTATGAATTATTCAAAATTAATTTGGAAATCACGAGTCAATTTATAACATATTTGTAAATATGATGAAAATGGCCGGATGATGGTTCAACAAATCGCAATGTGTAGACGCTGATCATGCAGTGCCCGGAGGTACGTAATGCGATAACTTAGTAGAATACAACTTATGAAGATGAGACTTGAAAATACTTAAAGAATTGGAGGATTTGACAAGAGACGGTAGAGTGTTCCATAGTTCAACCGTTCTAATGAAAAAAGAATTTCTAAAATAGTCCTGCTTGTGTTTAATTATAAGATTATAGTTGTTTTTATCATAATTTCTTGATTGGTATCCAGGTTCAAAAGTACATATATATTTGTTCACATCAGTAGTAATTGCTCCAGTTCTAGATTTAAAAAGTAGGCATATGTCTGAGATATCTCTTCTGAACTCAAGAGGGAGAATCTTGATCTTCGCGAGTCTGTCGGCATACGTTAGGTCCTGTGGATAGTCAAGAATAAACTTTGTTGCCCTCCGCTGGACATTTTCGACTAGTCTCTTATGCTTGATGGTATAAGGTGACCATAAGCTGCTGGCATATTCTAGAATGGGCCTCACGAGAGCGCAGAATATAGAGATTACTTCATGGTTGGCGAGCGCGTACGGTTTTTATTCACGAGTGAATTATTACAGGCGAACGAGTGAGCCTGTAATAATTAACGAGTGAATAAAAACCGTACCCGCGATCCAACCATGAAGTTATTTGTTTATATTATAAGTATTGAGATTTCACTCAAGAAAATGCATATTTTAAAATGATTAATAATAGTAGATTATTAACAGCATTTGAGGTTGCATAAATTAACTTTTTATTTTCAGAACACAACAACACAACTTGATTGTAAGAATTTCAACGCGAAGAAAATATTAAATTAACACGTATTTTAAAAATACTTCAAAGGCTATAAATGTTTATAAAAATGTCTAAAACTCATCGTCACTGTCCTCTAAAGGTTTAAGTCTCTTCCATTTTGACAACGCTTCATCTTTGGCGGAATTTTGGCTTGGTTCTTGTTCCAATGTGAGCTTGGGCGACTGGTTTACTGTGTTTATGTTAATGGAAAAATTGCCGCCTTTAATGACAGCTCCGCTGAATAAAGCCATAGCTTGTTGTGCTTCGGAGATGGGCGAGCAAGTTGGTGGTGAATTTACTGTTTTATCAGACGATGTCTTTGCTGCACTACCAGATGTATAGCCACTGAGAACTTTGGACATTTGCATTTCCTGTTTGCTCGACACTTTGCTGTAGCTTTCTAAGCTTTTTAAATTCTTGTGCCCTGACAGTTGAGCGATATGTGTCGGGGGAATATCATTTTCGCTAAGTGTTTGAATCATTGTTTTTCTCCCGCTGTGATTTCGCAGTCGTTCGTTGTTGATTCCTGCTTTTTGAGCCATTGTCTTCATCAGACTGTTCAGTTTGTTTATTCCAACAGGAGCGGCCTTGAACCACTCTTTCGTTTGAAGCGACTCTTTCTTTAATGTGTTGTTCACAGCTAGGTAGAAAGGGGAATCATCCTCGTTCATTTTTCCTGGTCTCTTCCGCTCGTAAAGTTTGTAGACCACGACAGGATCTCTTTCCGACCCATCAGTAGCAAACATTTTAGGCGCCATTTTTCTGACATCACGGCAATCTGAACCGGTTCTTGTTTTGGTTTGTCTTTCATTAAATTCTAAAAATTCCTCACCGTCTGCTGTTTGCTTCAACTTAACATCGCCCCAACACATGTCTCTGTGTTCTTTGCAACCTCTGAGTCCAAAATGCATAGTGTTATTCAACCAGAGTGTGTTTAAAAGCGACTCAGGACTTCGTGTACCGAGAAGGTCTTTTTCATACAACGTATTTAGTTCCGAAGTAGTTAAAGCCACAGAAGCGTTTGGTTTATTTCCTTTTCCTTGTTTTTTTAATTGTTTTTGCTTGGACTCGAGAGTTTTTCTTGTCTTTTCGAATGCCAAGTCATTGATAATACTAGCAGGGTAGTTTTTCCTCTTAAGATGCCGCTCGAAACTTGCCAGTAAACTCCGAAGAGAAGATGGCTCGTATTCTTTTCCGTTTTTGGTTCTGACCGAAATTATAAAGTCAGACATGTATTTGTTTAGTTCTCCTATCGGGATATCTTCAATGTTTCTTTCTTTGTTCTTGTTCACTAAAAATAGTTGTAATAATTTAACATCACGCTGTGTTTTTTGCGCCGTGCTCTTGTTCTCCTGTTCCAAAATAAAGTCGTCAACAGAACCGGCGTCAACAAATCGCGAAGCCATTTTGTTGTTTTAAATAATTAAATTCGCAATTCCGCGCCAAATGAAAAATGACGTATTTTCCCGTACGATCATTTCTCACTAGTGTGAAAAAACATCGTTCGTCCAATCAACAACGGCGAACGATGATTTTTCACTAGTGAGATTTCATCGTTCTCGTTGCTGATTGGCTGTTGCTAATTTGGAACGATTATTACGCACTGCGATTTCGATGAGTAAATCTCAATACTTATATAATAAAGTAATTTTCTCACTCTTTGGTCGTGGGTATCCTTGCAAGTTCGTTTAACAAGTCCGAGTGTTCTGTTGGCTTTGGCCACCGTTTCTTCTATGTGTCTTGACCAGGACATGTCACTGCATACAGTCACACCAAGATCTTTGACGTATGGAACACATTCCAGAGGTTGACCGTCCAAATAGTACTGAGATACAATCTTCGTCTTCTTTCTCGAGACCCGTAGTGCTTGACATTTAGATTTGTTAAACTTCATCGCCCAGTCGAGACTCCATTTATGAAGGTTATTCAGGTCGTTTTGGAGGCGAAGGGTTGAGTCAGGAAGGTTGATGGGTTTATAAAGTTTGGAGTCATCGGCAAACAGGGCAATGGTTGATTGGGAATTGATGTAGCTGGGGAGATCGTTGACGTAGACAAGGAACAAGAGAGGACCAAGTATGGAACCTTGGGGGACACCGGATGTTATTGGAAGCCAGTCAGAATAAACACCATCAAGAACAACTCTTTGATATCTGTCCGTGAGATAGCTGCTAAACCACGAGAGAAGAGATCCTGAGATGCCATAACTGTTCAGTTTTAAAAGTAGTAAGCTATGTGGGACCTTGTCGAAGGCTTTAGATAGATCTAAGTAAATGATATCTACTTCCCTTCCCGATGCAACGGTTTCTATGATGTTGTGATAAACCTCCAAAAGTTGCGTTACCGTTGATTGTCCGCGCAAGAACCTGTGTTGAAGGTGGTATAACTGGGGTGAGAGGTGGTAGTAGCAGTGGTTAAAAACACAACGTTCCAATACTTTGGATAGTACACATAGAAGAGAGATAGGACGGTAATTGGATTCTATCGATGGATCCTCTTTCTTGAAGACAGGGGATATGTTGGCGAATTTCCACTCTGACGGCACTACACCCAGGGAAAGGGAAAGGTTGAACAATCTGCACAAAGAGGGAGCGATCTCGTGCGCGACTTCTTTCAACAATCTACAAGGAATACCGTCTGGTCCACTAGCCTTGTTTGGATCTAAGTTACTCAATACTGCAGCAATAATTATAATTATTATAATAATTATAATTATTATAATAATTATAATTATTATAATTAGTTATAATTATTGATTATATGTTAAATGAAGCTAAGCTGTATTTAGAGGAATATTAATTATTAAAATATGGATATTTAAACAATGCCATATTATAAACACAAAATTTAAATATGCAAATAAACCCTGTGCCTCTATTTGAATGATGAAAGTGGTAAAACGATGGAATAAATAAAATACCTCATTTTTTTTTTGTTTGCATGTACAGTTCCAGCAGTTCTTGTACTCGCTCGTCGAATGGCATTAGTTACTGCCTCAGAAATTACTCTTGCTAGCTGTTCACTGTTCTCCATGTTGGATATTTGTTGATTTGTTGGCAAAAAATTCCGCCTTTATTGAAAATTTCACCCGATTGCAGGCAACACAAATTTGCAACTGACCACTGTCTGAGCCCGCGATATATTATATCGCAATGACAGTGCACTTGCAATATATTATATCACAATGATAGTGCACTTGCGATATATTATATCACAATGACAGTGCATTTGCGATTTGCATATCGCAATGACAGTGCATTTGCGATTTATTATATCGCAATGTCACTGCACTTGCGATTTATTAAATCGCAACAAAACTCCCACTAAATCACGAAATGCATCCTAAATCGCAATAAAAATACGTTTGTTCATGCTGTGGAGTTTTTTTACAAACGATGCCCCATATACATAAGAGTGGTTACAACTACAA